AGTAAAACGGAAGAAAGCAAAAAAAGCAAGCAAAGAAATCGAAGAAAAGTTCGGATGAAAACTTTTTTGACTATGGATTCCTAAAAGTATTAACTGAAACAAATATAACGACAGTAAAATAAAGAAGAAAGTGAACAGTTACCTGGGGAATCAAATCGAGACGTGGGGTGGTGGAGAAACAGCGCAGTTAATAACCGCAACTTTATATCACGTCCAGCCTCGAAAATCGGAGTTGAAATTATTCAAAATATATTAATCCCTACCGTTGATTTAACCAAACGAAATCCGGGCCGTAGAATTAAGGTCACGCGAATCTTCGAGTGTAATCATTATCTCGAGGAACAAGAGGTCAAGCGGTTACGCTATAGCTTCCGAGAAAAGAGATCTTATCTCGAAAGCTGGGGGCAACTGTTGGGCCCGAATTTAACCCGTTAGCTGAATTAATGGGCCGAATAGTTGAAACCATTTATGAGGCATTACGAGCCCATTAGAAAGCCTTCCCTCAAACAAGGATCAAATGAAATCGTTACCTATCGGTAAAAACAGGTCACGGACAAAAGACTCGGGACCTCGTTTACAAAACAGCTAACGAGAAACAGCTCTGGGGAAACGTGCAAGACTTAGTCAAGAGGAAGCTGTTGCAAATCCCGCAACTCACGGAGATAATCATGGAGGCTTCGCCGGAAGAAGTTGGACGTGACCTAATGCTATATAAAGAAGAGAAGAGATCAGAGAGAGGGGATTCGATTCATTCAAGAGAGAGAGACTCCAATACACTTTGTTCTTAGTCATTCTCTATAAATCATTGTTCTTTCTATTCAGATCGTCAAGATCATCTTTGTAAACTCTTTATTACCAAAAATCAATATAAACAACGTATTCATTCATACAAGTTCCAACAGGATTCAGCCCACGATTATCTTATCCCAATCTATACCTAACCTAAACTAGGAAGTGAGTTTTATCCCTCACAATGATCACACACTTGAAAATGAAAGATTTTTTGCTTGGTAATCAAAAATATTAACGCATGAATACACTGTATCGATTTAACCTTACATTTTTTTCGGTTTTCATCACGGAAGCAAATTTACATGTACGTATATAACGATAATTAAAATAGCAATAGTTTATAATTATCTAATACTCCCTTTGTTTTTTATACGATGTTTTAGGTTAATGCACAGATATTAATATATTTACATGCTCACAAAAAATATTTTTTAAAATATAATTTTAAAATTATTCAACCAATTATAAAAAAGATTGTAAATTTTATTGGGTGAACAATTTCCAGTAAAGTTAAAATTAACTTTAAAATCTCAAAACATACCTTAAAGTATTAAAACATTTTATATTTTGAAACAATATAACTCTTTAAATTATCATATAAAAAGAAACGAAGGGAATAAAATAGTTTTGATAAACTATAGCTTAACATATAATTATTATTTAAAACATGTATGTTGAGGACCAAACAAATGACACCACGTATTCTTGTCTGTTATATATATATATATATATATATATATATATATATATATATATATATATATATATATATATATATATATTATTTTGACAATTTTTCGTCTACTATATCTAATAGATATATTTATGATGTTAATATGATTTTATAAAAAAATTACAAAATAATAAATTATTGTGTAATAATCTTATTATATAAAGTTTGGTTCTTCAAAGTTACTAATTAACATGACCATGGCACATGGTAATTATATATTTAAGATTGTGACATGTGTGAATCTATCTCAAATTTAAAAATATATATACTAAGATAATAACAAAAAAAAATTGGTTTAAAAATTAATTATAATTATTATCTAATAGTAATTTTTAATTTTTAAAATCCTCAACAAAAGATAATTGTAAAAGATTATTTGATAGTAATTTCCTTTTAATATTGTGACATGTGTTAAATTATATAATGATTAAATATATATATATATTATCTAATAGTAATTTCCATTTTTAAAATCCTAAAAAAAAGATTATTGTAAAAGATTATTTGATAGTAACTTTCCATTTAATATTGTGACATGTATTAAAATATATAATGATTAAATATATATATATATATAATGAGATAAGAGAAATATATTTAAGTAAAGAAAAAGAACTTATAAGTTTGAATTGTAGTTTTTCTTTATAAAAATCCTAAAAAAAAAGGAATTTTAAAAATATTAAATTTTAATATTTAATATATAGTATTTCTAATCTATTTTATTATGAAAAATATCATCATAATAAATTTTGAAAATTAATTAATAACAGAAAAATTTAATAAAATGGTTTAATTGTTAGTAGAAATGAGAAACAAGTAATTTGAAAATAATTATAAATTCAGTACACATAGGAAAAATTATAAATTCAAAAACTGGAAAAAAACTAAAGAAATGTTTTGAAATACTATAACTTGAATACCATTTTTAATACTACATAAAAAACTCCCATAACATCTGAATTTAGGATTTAGTGTGGAGAGTTTCATATTTAAGGGATGAAACTAAGTTTATAAAATGATATAAAAATTCCAAATGATATATATGATATCAAATATCATATACTTAAAATGAAATTGGAAGATTTTCTTAATTACCTCTAAGATCGTCTTCTTCAACTTTATTATAATATGTAATAAAATTATTTATTTATTTATTTTAAGATTTATCATCACAAATTAAGAAGTAACAATTGTATGATATTGTCATTTACTTGATTGACCTTATTTAACTTTCAATTTTTTTATTTCATTCTAATTCTTAATTCAAATTGGATTTGGTTTAAATTTTTAGGTATGAGTATTTTCTCTCGCCTTAAGTACAAAGTTAAAAACAATTTACTTATGTGCCATGATTATTAAAATAAAAATATTTATCAATATTTATGTGGATAAACAAATTCTAAATTCTGAAATAAATCTCACACAACATATACAAAAATAATTTTAAAATTTAAAATAATTTATTATTTTATGTCCTTTGTAAAATTAAAATATCAAATAAAATTTGTACTTATTAAAATATAATAACTAATCGGAATTTTTATGGAAAACAAATTCTTAATTGCTAAAATAAATTTCACACAACGTTTGCAAAAAATATTTAAACTATAAAATGAATTATTATTTTTATGAAGGGTAGTAATGTATTTAGTCATTTTAGAGTCCTGTTGTGGAAACCCACTTGGCAAATAATATAAGAATTCAATAACATTAAGTAATTGGTTTTTTTTTTGACAACACATTAATTAATTGTTTTAAGTATAATATTTTAAACAAGATTTATTATTTGTTTCAGTTGATTGAGTTTCGACCATACAAGTCTTTATTTTCAATTCAGTCAAATAAAAAAAAATGCCACTCTGAATTTTTTTTTTTTTTGACAACAAGCCTGTCTGTATTTAATTTATTGTTTTAAAGGTATCGGCTTCCGTATTCACTTCATCAATTACTTTGTTTTTCTTCAGAAATTATGAAACCATTCGAATCGGAAAAATATTTTAAAACAGGAAGTAGTCTGTAAATGTGCTGGAAGTGATGAGTCGAAGACTGTTCAACTTTTCCGAAACAAGATATTATAATATTTACCTCTTCCTATATATTTACATCCATTCTAAGCATTATATCAAATCATCCGACAATTTTAGACTGAAAAGGAAAATTCTTAAACACAAAAAAAAACATGGAGTTAGGAAAAGCAATTGAGGAGCATAACAATGTTGTCGTAAGATTAGCAAAACATGTCATCGATACCGTCGCTGCTGGCTCCAACCTCGTCTTCTCACCAATGTCAATCAATGTTTTGCTCAGCATCATTGCCGCTGGTTCCAGTGCTGCCACCAGAGAACAAATCCTCTCCTTCCTCATGTCACCATCAACAGAGCACCTCAACACAGTCTTGACAGAGATAGTATCTGTTGCCCTAGCCGATGGCAGCGAGAGAAGTGATTTGTGCTTATCTGCGGCTAATGGTGTCTGGGTTGACCAGTCTATCTCCTTGAAGCCTTCCTTTAAAGAACTTCTTGAGAACTCCTACAAGGCTACTTGCAGCCAGGTTGACTTCTTTAACAAGGTAACTCTTCTATGTTCTTTGAAACTCTTAATTCATCAAACCAATTGCGTGGATAAATTACAAGGTTTCAATGGTTTGACTCATGTCTCTTATATACTACTGTAGATAGGTCCCATATTATTTTAGTTTAGATGTCAGATTCCTAATCATCAGTGTTTATTACCTTTTAATGGTTTGAATTTGTGAAATGATTGGATAATTTGATGATGGCTTATTTTGAAGCCTGGTGAAGTAATTGATGAAGTGAATACATGGGCTGAAGATCACACCAATGGACTCATCAAAAATATTCTTTCAAAGAATCTCATTGAGGGTATCCGTCAAAGCAAACTCATACTTGCAAATGCAGTGTACTTCAAAGGAGCTTGGAGCGAAAAATTCGAGCCAGAGTTCACAAAAGATAACGATTTTCACCTTCTTGATGGCACTTCTGTGAAAGTCCCCTTCATGACCAGTTACAACGACCAATACCTAAGACAGTATGATGGTTTCCAAGTTGTGCGCCTCCCTTATGTAGAGGATCAACGTCAATTCTCCATGTACATTTATCTTCCTGATGTTAGAGACGGATTGCCTACTCTGCTTGAGAAAATAGGCTCTGAACCAGGGTTTCTTGATAACCATATTCCAGACAACCAAATAGAACTGGGTGTTCTTAGAATTCCAAAGTTTAAGTTCATTTTCGAGTTTGAAGCTTCTAGTGTTTTGAAGGACATGGGGTTGACTTCACCGTTTGGAGGTGGTCAAATTGAAAAGGTTGATTCACCTACTATTGGTGAGAATTTGTATGTTTCAAACATTATTCATAAAGCTTGCATTGAGGTGGATGAAGAGGGAACTGAAGCTGCAGCGGTTTCTGTCGGCATCATGATGCCCCTATCCCTATGTTTAAGTATGATGAAATATCCAGATTTCGTAGCTGACCATCCATTTCTATTTATGGTGAGAGAAGACAAGAGTGGAGTGATCTTGTTCATGGGTCAAGTTCTTGATCCTTCAAAACATTGATTTAAGACACTGGTTGAGTGTGAGAAAACATTAAGCAATACATATGTTTGTTGTGTCTATTATTGGTTGGTTTGATTGAATTGAGTTTGTAACACCAGCCACTGACTTTGTTATGTTTTTTTTTACTGCTTTGTTTCTTACAAATTATAAGGTTGATTCTTGACTCATACATGGTTAGTTGTAAGTCCAAAATCCTAATTCCTCTTAATTAA